GAAAGAATAATACCATGTCATATTATCAATTTAAAGAGAAGAATGTGTCAGATATTTTCTATGAATGATCTCATTTGCTCTTGCAAGAACTTTATGAACTAGAACTGAAGATTAGTGACATTAAATAACTTGCTGTACTATAAACTCAGTTCTGTATGGCTCCACAGCCCACCCCTCCTTCTATGCTGTTCTGTGAGACTCTTGGTGGTGTTGGTGGGAGTGATCTTGCTAAGAATACTGGGCATAGAGCCAGAGAGTATTAAAGTGACACAGATAATGAGATTTAAGAGAGGTGGTCAATGGAAGGATATTTGATATTTAACTGTGGTTAAAAAAAAATAAGAGTAGAATCCACATAGCTTAATCACCTTTGAAAAAGCTAAGTCTCCAAATACCATTGTACTGGGGGTGAATTTTCAAAAGGATAAAAATATTCAAACTATAGCAAGTCTTCTCCTTGTATCTGTCCAAAATACATCTTTAATGGTGCTAAGTTACAAAGACCACTTATTTTGGATAATGTATTCAATTATACTCTATGTGTTTTTCAAACATTTATTATAGGAAAAAATCTTGCAACATGATGATGGCACATTTCATTTTTATACCTAAAACTGATTCATTTTGGCTTTCTTGCTTCCTTTATAGAGATATGAAAGGAAACATATAGACATTATTTGGGAATATTCTTGGATAGCAAATCAGTAAATCTTTGTTTTTAAAGAGCAATCAGAAATCATAACAATATAGTTTTTCCCTTAAATGCTTGAGTTCATAAAAGCCTGCTTTAAAATGTCCCAATGTTCCTATTTTGTATATCTTCACTTGCCTTCCTAAGATCTTAAATAAGCCAAAAACATCCCAGAGATTTTTACACATAGCTGACAAGTCTCCTGATAATGCGGTTACTACTACCACTCGGGAGAGAACAAGGGTCATAGGTCCAACAGCAGCTTACAGAAGGAGTGTTCAGGGGTGAAGTCAGCCAACGAAACCAGAGCTTAAGAGAAAAATAAGTAGACAGTAGCACTGGGATTGCCATGCTGTACTTAAACAATGGATATAGCTCAGTCAACCAGAAAATAAATAGGGAAACACTGGATTTGAACTACACTTTATACCAAATGGAACTAAATGACACATATAAACCATTCCATTCAACAGCAACAAGATATATGTTCTTAAGTGAACAGAGAAGGTTCTCCAGGATAGTTATACATTATGTCACGAAACAAGCTTCTAAGTATTTAAGAAAACTAAAGTCGTATCAAGTATCTTTTCCAACCACACTGACAATGGACCTAGAAGTCAGTAATGGTAAGAAAATGCAAGTCCTTCCATGTATGGAAATTAAGTAACAGTACTTCTAAATGACAATAGGTCAAAAGAAATCAGAAGAAAAATTTAAGAATGTCTTTGAGACAAATAAAAATGAGGCATATTATGTAAAATTTGTGGAATATAGCAAAAGTAAGTTTAAAAACAGTTTATAGCAATGAATATCTACATGAAAAAAATTATCTCAGATAAACAACCTAGCTTTATACTTTAAAAAAGATAGAAAACGAATGAATTAAGCCCAAAATTAGTATGTGAAGGGAAATAACAAAAATCAGACATTAGAAAATAAGTTAATGGCAATAAGAGTTATTTATTTATTTATTTTTTATCAGTACTGGGGATTGAACTCACAACTGCCTGCTTGCAAGGCAGGCGCTTATGCTGCTGAGCTAAACCTCCAGTCCCTAAGAGTTATTTTTAAGAAGGCAAAATTTCAAACTTTTGAAGGGAAGAGGGAGAGGAAAAGGGAGAGAGAAAAACTAAAAAAAAAAAATGAAAAAGGAAACATTACAATACTGCAGAAGCATAAAAGAACACGAGATTACTACAAACAAATTAAACACTAACAAACTAAATAATCTCCCAGGAGAAAGTAATAAATCTCTAGAAACATACAATCTACCAAGACTGAATTATGAAATAGACAATCTGTACAAATTGATAATGATTACAACAGTAGACAAAAGTTTCTCATTAATGAGAAGTCTAGGACCTAGTGACTTTACTGGTAAATTCTGCTAAACATTTAAAGAAAAATTAATAAACTTAAATTCTTGCAAAATAATTGAAAAGAAAAAAATTTCAGAGTCATTTTTTGGAGTCCGAAATGCCCTTGATACCAAAGGCAGACAAGGACACTACAGAAAAAGAATTTTACAACCTAATATGTCTGATACAAAAATCTTTAATAAAATACCAGCAAACTGAATTCATTAACACATCAAAAGGATCATATACCATGATCAAGTGTGATTATCCCTGTTATGCAAATATGTTTCAAGCAATGAATATGATATATTACATTAACATAATGGAGGACAAACACCATACAATTGTACTGATAGATGCAGGGAAATAATTTGAAAAATGAATAGCTTTCATAATGAAAATTCACAAAAATGTGCGAAGGACATACTTCAATATGATAACCACCATAAGTCCGTATCTAATTTATACTCAATAGTGCAAATTGAAAGCTTTTCCTCTACAATCAGAAGCAAGACTAGAACAATTATTTATAATGGCTTAGGACAATCTTAGGACCTACTCTAATTTGCGAGTAATTGTTTTCCTACATAGCTTTGATGTATTTACATTAGGTAAGATTTTAAGCTTGTTGCATGCCTCTGGACCTTTTGTCCTCTTTTTCTTTGAGTGATAGTTGAGCTCTTTTTTAAAAGCAATTTAGCAGCCATGTGGTAGCACAGTGATACAGTGCTTGCCTCAAACACACAAAGCCTTAGATTTAATATAATATGCAGCGTGAAAAAAGAAAAGAAAAAGAAATTTAAAATCTTTTACAAAAAAATTGTTATAAACACTTTCAAAACATATAAGTCCAAGTATACCAATAACTCAGAATTTTGCTATTTCTCTTTACTAATATTTAAGTATGTTATTGTCCAAAATAGCTATCTTTTTCAGATATGATTCACATAATATACAATTGACACATTTAAAGTATAAAATTTAGTGACTTTTAGTATACTCATGAATATGTGCACATATGTGCCACACATGCTTCATATATACATTTTTTCCCTTTTCTTTCCTTGTGCTGAACAACTTCAAAGCAAATAATAGATCTGCTATGCCACTCCCAGATAGGAATTTCTAAAGTTACATATTTTCCATACATAACCAGAGTATGATCTTTCCATTTGGTAATGCAAAGATGATGTTGGGGAAGACTGTTTCTAAGCTATTTAACTCCATCCATACTTGGAGAAGATGGTCTGCTTGAATAATTCTAAAAACATACTACAGTTTCAAGAGTTTTATAAATAACTTTTATATTGTTTTTCCTTTTTAAGTGAATTAGCAGCTTAGAAATCTTCCTTCCTTGACAGTTACTATAGAGAACCCATTGAATCATTCTCTTTGTTGTTATGTTCAAATCTCAAGAAAAAAATAGGATTTTTGGAGGATAAATACCATTTGTGAACAGCTTGGTTTTTGTTCTGAATGACTAACTTGAGAGAAAAAGTTTAAAATAGCTCATGGCTCACCACAGGAAGTGTAGGACATAAGTTAATTGTGTGAAATATTACACTTGTTTTTTTTTTAAAGGAAGTAAACAAACAAAAAAAAAACTAATGAACGCTAAACTTTAACATTTTGACTTGTGAAACCTGATTTTTCTTCCAGAAGTTTAGTTTGAAGCATTTTCTGAATTTTACAAATTTGTTTTAATCTTTTTTCTAATGTGCCATTTCTTTTAATTATAAAAATTGTCAGATGCTTATGCTACAGAAAAGATTTAATGAACAGAAACACAAAGACATAAAATCATCCACAAATGCCAATCCTCAGGAATGGATAATCAGTGTCAATGTGACAGTGATAGGTAAATAATATGTGGAGGCCCACCTGGATGACTCCTTGAAGAAGAGCAATTATGTCCATCTTGGCTAACCCAGGCCCTATTGCCGTGTATTGATCTGCACAGAACTGGACTTTTCCTTCCATATTCCTTCCCCTGGAATTAAGCAATGCAAATCAGTTTAGCCCAAGTGTTAATGTGTAGTGTTTGGACAGGTCAGTGTTGCCCCACCTCTATAGCTACCAAATAGATGTGTGAGCCGGGCGGGAGGGAGAGCCACGTTCCATGAGGTCAGCTGGGACCAGAGCCTGAGTTAAGAGGCTGAAACTTCTCAGGCCATAAAATATTACACATCAGAGCTGAAGCACCAACCCCAAAACATTAGATACTACCTCAAGTTTTGACTTGTGAAACTGTAGATTACTCTGTAGATTACTCTTTCTGCATATCCTCCTCTCTGCATATTGCAGAGGTGATTTCAGGCCTCCTACCTTTCTCAGCTCACAGTACTCACATATTCCCACCACTGTGAGTCACTTATCCTGAAGCCACTCCTTTCTTCATGAATGAATAAAACTTGGGTGAGGCCCTGGGTTGAGGCCTTTTTTCTGGTTAGCTATCATCCTAGCTGGACTTACGATCCCTTTTGCTCTCGATACCTATATTAAGTGTGCCTTAATATCTATAGTCTCACCATGGGTTACATTGGAAGTGGTAGCTTGGAATTATCTTATTGGAATTCTGATAACTTTTCCATGGGATTACAAATATAAACTTGCCAGACCACGATGGGGACCAAGAAGGGCTCTCCAAGAAATACAAATTTTATAGTTTAAAATCACATTCTACAGTGTTTTAGCACATGCTCTTTCAATTCATATTGTGGTATTGGCTAACCACTTGTAAATTCTTTGGATCTTAGGATTTTTTTTTCTTTTTTGCTACTTCTTTTTGCTAATATTTGTATACATTATTTACCAAAATGGTATTCTTTTTAAGAGGTGATTCACATAATATATAATTCACCTATTTAAAGTGTGAAATTCAATGGTTTTTAATATATTTATGAATATGTGCGGTCATCCATCACAACTTTGGGACATATTCATCACTTCCAACTCTTTATTTTTTAAAATTTATTTAAAGAAAGACTAAACAAAACAGAAAACGGGTAGAAATAATACATATTTTCAAAGAAAAAATCAACAGTAAGAAATCACTGGTTGATGATTACATATTGTCCTCTTACAAATAGTTGTTCAAGATACAAAAGTGAAACATACAAAAGTGGGGTTTCAAACAAGACCACAAACAGTTCTGTTCAACTATCCAACAAAAACTTAGTAATGTGATTATCAACCCTATACTCTTAAACATACACGCAGGTCTTCATACATTCATATCTTCATTTATGTTGAGACTAAACAAACCAAAGCAGGCTAAAATCACTCTGAACAGAGAATAATAGTATTACTGGATTTTACATCATGACACTACAGGATCAGCACTAGGTACTGTAGTATCTCTTTTTCTTCAAAGTATTTGTTCATTTCATCATGCATTATATGATCAGTTCTTGTAAATTGTTTATAGATTCTGCACATGCATTAGTCTTAACATGTATTTCTATCCTTTCTATGTTAGAGGGAGAAACAAAACAAAGCAAGACAAAACAAAACATAGTCCTATAAACACATGAAATGAAAAAGACATAAAACCACTATACAAGAAGTTCTACCATGGTTACTGTGTTGTCTCTTGTTATCTTCAATAGAATTGTCTGTATTAGCAGACATAGTATAGTTGAATATAGCAGTACATAACAATATTAATAAAAACACAACTTTGTAGATAGTGTATAACTTCAAAAACAGGTAGTAATCAAATTCCAATTCTTTAGATGCAACCTGCCTCTCTATCCATTCCATTCATTCCCCGGTCACTTTCCACCCAAGCCACTACTTTCTGTGTGGTCTTTTGTACCTGGTTTTTTTCACTTAGCATAATGATTTAGAGACCATCTATGGTATCGTTAGGCAACTGAGTTAGTTAGAAATATTATAGGCAGTTAGGCAGGGTTAGGGCCCTTGAGGGAGTCAATGCAGAAGACCAGATATCTTGCAACCTTGGAGGAGACAGACACTTCTGCTGTGGGCCAGATCTCAAGACGAAAGGCAAAATGAATACAAGCATACCATAAGTATAAACATGAGGGATTGATATTCTAAATGGATGATTCTATGAATCATCTTGAGGAAGCCAAAAGGAGTCATTAACCCAACCCCTTAGCAGCAAAGACCCTATTCTGTATTCATGCTCGCCTCCCCATTTGATCCCAGTTTAACCAGTTTTACTTGGGCAATCTTGTTGGTTGACCATAGTTCTGTCTCACCTCATGCCCACTTGCTTTGCCAGTTCCCATATTTTCTCCATTTTGAACCCATCTTACCTAGTGGTTTTGCTCTATAAAATCCCTAGAAAAGACAGAGGCTTGGCAATCCACTCTATCTCTCTTTCAGACAGAAGCTTTCTTTCTCTCAATAAATATACTCTGCTCTTAGCTTCCGTTGTTCCTGAAAATCATTTTTCGATTTTAGAGGAAAAACTTATACCAATACACATACAGTAGGTCAGGAATTTCGTTACCCTATATCACTCTCAATTCTGTTCAGAGACTTAGCATTGTCGCTGCTAGTTCCGTATGTATTTCTTTGTTAACGTGGGAGCACAAGTAATTTTTCACATTTTTTAGTGAATATCCTGCAAATTTTAGTGTTTTCTTTTGAGCTGCTACATTGTTTGTTGTTTGCAATCATTGGGCAGCTTTTTCTCCAGTTCCCCTAGAGGAGCTTCATGGATGGCAGTAGCTTTGAGTTCTGAATTTAAATTGGTTGCCACCGATTCTTCAGTTCCCACAGTGTATCCCTGCTTGCTGAAGAAAGGCAAGAAAGAGAAAAGGAAAGAATGGGCAGTAGCCTTTTACTTACCAAATGCTTTGCAAATATTCTATAAAGTTTTGAGGTATTTTCATGTGCAGGATTTTAAGTTTTTAATTCAATTACATGTAATAAATTCCTTTATGGGAAACTTTAAAATTTAATGCTCAGAAAGTATTTCCACATTTTAAATAATTAATTTTAAAAAGTTTGGGTTTTTTTTTGAGACAAAGTCTCACAGTGTAGTTGAGGATGGCCTTGGGCTTGTGGTGATCTTTCTGCCTCAGCTTCCTGAGTGCTGGAGTTATAGGCATGTACCATCACCCTGGGCCACATTGGGATATTTTTACATATATTTGTATAATCTATCTGGAATGTATTGTGGTGTTTATTCTAATTTGAGAAATAAACTTGGTATACTTCTCCAACATTCTGTGAGTTTCTTCAGAACCGTTTATTTAACAATTCGTTTCTTCCCCAAGTGGTTCATGACATTTCCCTGTGCACTACCAAGTTCTTATACATACTTAATTCTGCTTTAAATCTATCAATTCTGTTTCATTGTCAGACAATATTTGCAACAATTGTGGACCTTTTCATTATTTTTGCTTTATTATATATTAAATAGAGCTGAGTCTAGTGCTATATGCTCATAATCCAGCACTCCAGGAGGCTGAGGCAATTTAATAATTTAGCAAGACCGAGTCTAAAAGGAAAAAAAAAGATGTAATTGAAAAATTACAATGATGTTTAAATTTAAAAAGCTATTTCAGTCAAAGACACATTGCCATTAACACTCCTCAAAATACCACTCTACCATACTTCAGACACATTTACCTCCCTGTGCTTGCTGCTTTGTAAAGCAGTTGTCAAAGTCCTCTTTACAGGAGCATCTTGAGCTGTGTTATTGTGGCTGTCTCAATGTCTTGAATGAATTCTAAACGTTTTGGTTATTTTGGCTTTGGGGAAGAGCCAGCAGTCACATTGTGTAAGATCCAGTGAACAAGGTGGATGGAGACACACTACTTTGGGGCAGAAGCCGTGCTTTTTTCCTTTCAGAGGAATCCTTCAGAGTCTATTACCACACTGGGGTCACAGGGGTGCATAGTAACAGTGTATTTCATCAATACGCTTGTTCAAGTGATGACAGCTTCCTCCAACGTTTTTTTCCTCTTCATTATAATCCTTTTGGTCCTTGCTGGAGATCTCTTTATTCACAAATATAGTTTGTTTTTAAAATAATGGTTACCAAAATGCTTCCTAATTATAAGAGGGGGAATTACCAGTATTGATTAGCAAATGTTTCTGGAGTGTTATACCCACTAAAATAAACATAATCTGTATTTTTTAGTAAGAATTTTATACTATGAATTCATGCTAATAAAAAGAAATATAAGTGACTAATCATACAAATTAAAGTGTTCATTAATTATTTAAAAATATAATTGAAACTAACATAGAGGTATAGAATTTTGTGTATTAGTCACATGACATATATTTTTATTTCAGTTTTTCTTGGAACTGTGCCAGATTTGATGAATAACAATAATAAGCACTTTAAGCATATTTTTCAGATATTGTGCTAGATATTTTGCCCTTGTTACTTTTTGTCATCATTGCTAATTTCATCAAAGGAGCATGATAAATAAAATTTGAGGTTTTATAGTCCTTTCTGTCTACCATCATTATACACAAGTTTGTGTAACTGCCTTCAAAGGGCTCATAATTTTCCAGGTAAATAATAATCTCCAAATCTATTGTAGGCAATTGTGGTACCAACGACAACTATGACTAGTACATAACGATTTTGTGATCTCCCTTAATATATATTTATATAATCTATCCTTATTTCTAGATAGTATATCTATTGAGTTTGGTTTAATGTGAGTTTTGCATTTTAAATTAACAACAGTAAGAATATTCCTTTTTAATAAACCTAGATATAAATTATATTGTAATATTTTTTATATAGCACTAATTTTTAATAATTCTTCCTTCACAATCTTTTATCCTCACATTTTTATAAACCAACAATGTCTACTAGCTGGTCCAAGGGTTCTAATGATTATGACTTTGTCAGGATGTAAGGTTTTTTCTTGCTTTTTGCACTTAGAATATAGAGGTCCTGATAGTGCAAACTTTTGACTAATCGGATTTTACATCTGGAGAGCCCCAGTGAAGTAATAAGAAGCTGGGATTAAAGTGTTGCTTTTCCTGTGTCATAAAGCAACTTTCCATCATTGAGAAGGGAACCTAGAGATGGAAGACGAAAGGAAGCAAAATAAAAAGAACTAAACTAGGTTATGTACATGTCCCTACCTATTCCCCAAGAAGAATATAAACTTTTGGTACTGCAATTACGTATTAATAAAAATGTTGTAAAGGTTCAGTCTTGCCGCCAGTCCTGGCAGATGGCCAAGAGTGTGTGATAACTGCTTTCTCAGTGACATAACTGAACCAAAGCTGCGTCAAATTACATCAGCAACTTTAGAAAAACTGGATTTACTGGGCCTGGTGGGCTGCATATTGAAATACATACAGGTCCCTTTCACACGACTATACCACGTGTTAGCTGGCAGAAGGCACTGCTGTGTTGTATCTGTTATGTCATAGGATCCAGTGGGAACATCACTGGACATTACAGAGGAGGGAAATTAAGGTGTTTATGAACTCTTTAGCAGCTGATACCCTGAATTGCAAGCAGAATTCACTCAAACTGAGAAAGTTCAAATATAGCAAAAGGTTAGACAATGTTTAAACTAAAGGAACATAAAAATCAAATAAACCAATCTTACTCTATAGATGGCTATGAGATTATTGTGTAGGCTACCTTTTTTCCATTCGATTTTCAATTCAATTCCTGCCACATAGGAGTTCAAAAATGGTTTGTGGTATCCTTCTAGGTTTATTGTTTGCTCCCAAATATTTGTAACTTTCTTAAATTTATAAGCTATAATTTTGTTGTACCCGATGAATATAAATTTAAGTGAATGGAAATGTGTTGTTTGTCCAGCTGCCTTGAACAGGGAGAGCAGTCATTGGATTCTCCAGCTCTTGTAGATGGGAGATTTTAGTCATTAGTAACACAGCCCTCCTTGAAGTAGCAGATACTAACTTAATGTTTACATTGTCTTTAATTTTCCAAATACTTGTGACGTACTTGAGAGGAGACTTTTAAAATATGGTGCAAGCAGATATTTACATTAGGAGGACATAATTTCTCCTACACTTGAATAAACCACCTGCCAGTGCTGGGTCTGAATCATAGGGCTTGACAATTCTGGGTGAGTCATAAGTCTTCTACTAGTCTAGTGAAACAACAGTTCTGGTTACTTTTTGAATGCAGGATTGTTTTTTTCAGAGCCAAATATTTATAACTAATAACATATACCTAAATTGAAAGTAGAAGTACATTTCCCCTTCCTCATTTCATATAAAAGCAGAATTGAGCTGCTACCACGGGGGATGTTTCCTGTTGCAACAAAGGAAGCAGATTTCTTCAAGGTGTAATCACAAAGGGGAGGTTGCACAGTGGCTTCTGGAAGCTTCTCAGATTCCTGGAATCCCTCTCTGTTTCAGAAGCAGGACTTCCCTGGGCTGACACAAAGTAGGAGCAGAAAGAGGGTAGAATCCACCCACATCTGATTCTGGGTGATTCCCAGGAAGAATCCAACTCCAAAAGTGCCCAAGGTTGAATCTCCAGTCATCTTGTTGGTTCCAAAAGATGGAACCAGATGGAGCCAGATGGAGCTAGAATTTGGGCTTATAGAAAATAAAGGTAGTAGCAATCTTTGCACTATCAAGGGGGCCATCTAAAATTTGATTCTGCTTCTAAGGCATTTTCACTGTTTAAAAAGAAGGTAAAAATTATTTTTACTGTTTAAAAAAGGTAAAAATTATTTAGTGTTTCTGCAGTGAACTCATCCATTTAGCAAACATTTACAGAAGAACTTTTAAGTGCCAGGCACACAAGATAAAATGGTGACTAAGACAGACATGCCACAGCTTGAAGCAAGATAAAGTAGTAAACAGACCACTGAACACAGTATGCTAAGAATGATGACAGGCTAAGGTAAATGGATCAGGGAAGATGTAGGAGACTGCTTCTCTCAAAATTAGGGAATCAGAAAGGGCCTAGAGAGGAGCATGCACACCAAGGGATGGAAGAAGTACAAGTTGCCTGTGGGGTTCAAGGTGGGGAGTGGTGATCAGTGAGTCCAGAAAAGTCATGATGGCCAGGTCACCAGCATCCTTGGAAGTGGTGTTAAGGGACATGGGCTTTTAAAGTGATTGCTCTTTCATGGCTAGATCAAATTTTCATCAGGTTTTAAACACGATTTTCTTTGTTCCATTGGATTTTGCATACGTAGTGGCTATAGCTATTGATTTGGCAGAAGAAGCACCTCTGATATGTACATTTGCTGCATTGTGTCTCCATTTCTTTCAGAGCTACGCTATGCGGTGGGTAGTGAGAGGGACTGCGTGACTCGCAGATATTTTTTAACCAGAAGGCATCAGTTTTTAGTCTTGCTGCTACCTGACAATGTCTCCTCATTGCATGGGATCCATTGAGTTCTGCTTTGCTTTCTTTGTTGTAACATCAAATATCCCCCATGGCCTCTGCTCAGGTCCACTTCTGTGTGAAATGAGGAAGGCTAAACTTACTTCTACTTTCTATTTAGGTGCATATCATTAAAGAATATTTTGGTTTAGAAAATGAGCCTGCAATAAAAAAACTAACCAGAAGACATACAGTCAACCAGAACTCCACAGGCTCAGGGAACTGAGACCAGTACTTCCAGATGGTTTGCTCAGGAATAGGAGAAACAGTTCTACCAAAGTCTGTTACAGTCATACTAAAAAAGTTGTAAGTATGTTTTGGTATTTAGAAAATTAAAGGTGACTTAAATATTAATCCTATAGTCCTTAGTTCAAATGCCAGGAATTTTGTCCTATTAATAGCTGGATAATTTTCACTTCTCAGAACTGTCCTCCACTCACTCAATACTTATGGAGTATCTTCGTGAATTATTTTGGTTTAAAGTCTAAGCTTAAAGGAGTGAGAAAAACCTGTGATACAGAGGTTTTTTTTTTTTAAATTTAAAAGGAAAAAGAGAAAAACACAAAACAAAACAAAGCAGTGTAAGGTTACACATAATACAGAACTACAAAAAAAAAACATAACAGTAAGAAATCACCTGTTAATAGATTACATATTATCATCTTGGAAATAGTTGCTCAAATCACAGTATCAAAGAATACAAAGTAGACATTCAAACAGAGAGACTGCAAACAGCTGTGTTCAATGATCCAAAAACATTAATATAGTCAGCTATTTAACACCCCTAAACACACTTGCTGTTATATCCGTTAGAGCTCTTTTTTTTTCCTCCCTCTCTTTTTTACAACAAAATTTACACATTTTGGATTTTATTACTCCTTAGTTCTTATTACTTTTTTTGGGGGGGGAGAGAATAAAGTCAAATATAGCAAAACAAAGCTGTCAGTCAAAACCAAGGATAGACATAGCACATGATGTAGAACAGAGTACAAGGTTATTAACAATGGTTATCAACGTTGTCGATACAGAGGTTAATAAAGAGCAGAACAACAGTTTTTCCTACCTGGTGCCGCAAGAATAGATGAAGGGGATATGTGTTGAGGGGAAAGTTTGGAAGCACAGGGACAGCTGATGCTGTTGGCCAGAGGAGGGGTGCCTGCCCCAGAGAGCTACCCTTTGCCTGGTGGAATCCTGTGTGGATCCCCAGCCTGGTGTGGTCAACAAAATGTGATTACATTTATTAGGGGAAACAATAGCTTTTTAATAATTTAAATTCAGTGTCAAGTTTTAGGATGAGTTCTCTTAGTATGCTTTCCCTAAGTCATGAGTGAGACTCTTGTTTGAATTGTTTTTTCTCTCTCAGGAGAGAGAGAAATTCCTTAGGTTGGCATCAAACTCTTGATTCTCTTGCCTCATGTTCTTAAGTATGTATCTTGGATTGTAGACATGTGTCACCATTCCAAGCTTTGTCTGAGTTCTCATGTGCTCTTAGCCAAAGCAAATCCAGTAACCATCAGGTTATGATCTGGTCTCCAGAGGTGTCACGTGGTGGGACACTTTCCCTGGTTTGTTTCTACAAAGATCTCTTTATACAACCTAGTGTTTCCAAATTATAGGGCTGTGGAATTGAATCCAATCTCCACCTTTCACTGACACCATAAAAATTCTGAAAATTTAGATTAACAACTACCTATTAAAGTGGTTGAAGCTTGAATACATTATAGTGGTGTTTTATTTAACCATATGGATATATTCTAAGAAATTTGTTTTTGGTGGATGTCATCAGGGTTGTAAGCATCACAGAGTTCACAGACTATGTAGACTGTGTTGTGTTTGTCCTTACATAATCCTACATGGCATGCAGGTAGGCTATGTGGCACAAACCTGTGTGGCAGGTCACTGTACTGAATACTGTAGCAGTCTTACAGGTAGTGCAGTGATATTTGTGTGTCTAAACAAAAAACAAATACAGTAAGAATATGATATACAAGCTGAGCCAAGGAGAGCATGGGAGGGCGTGTACAGCCCTGGGATGTGACTGCACAGTAGACTTCAAAGTCCTCTACACTTAGGCTACCTTAAGTTTACTGAAAAAGTTGTTTTTTTTTTCTTTGCAGTAATAACCTTAGCTAAGTGTCACTTTTTATTTTGCAAACTTTACTATTTTAAAAATCAATTTGACCTGTGTAATGTTTATCTTAAAACACAAACATATTGTATGGCTATACAAAACTGGTTATATCCTTATTCTATGCATTTTTTATTTTAGAAATTATTTATTTTTTACTTTTAAAGTTCTTTTTTGAAAAACTAAGGCACAGGGACTGGGAGTAAAGTTCAGCAGTACAACACAAGCTTAGTATGCTTGAGGCCCTGGGTTACATCCCCAGAACCCATGAATCCCTAGAAAACCAAGCTACAGGCCTACATAAGGGTATGATCATCATATCTGTCTCCCACCTCCACATCTTGTAATGCTGGAAGGTCTTCAGGGGCAATGTCATGCACGGAGTTGCACCTCCCATGATAACAAGAGCTTCTTATAGAATCTTCCTGAAGGATCTGCTGAGGCTGTTTTACTTATTTTTAAAATATAAGTAGAAGGAATGTTTTAATAACAATAATAAAGAATATTTTACAGTAAATACAGTAACAGTAATAGAGTTTATCATTAAGTATTATGTACTGAACATACCCAATACTCACACTTTATAGTTGGAGAGATTAAATGTGGCTCATGTTTTATGAGGATTCAGTTGATGGCCAGCTGGCTCCAAGTCAGAAACAGTGGTGGGAGGACATGATGGAGCAAAACTGCTTAATTCACTCATGGCAGCTGGGAAGCAGAGAGGAGGACCCTGCCAGAGAGGAACGGGAGAGGAACCACACAAACTCCCACGGCCACGCCTCCGAAACCCTCTCAGCCACACCTGGAAGTGTGCTCCACTGTCCCTGCCCAACCCAAAGTCAATAAGTTAACATTCCGTTCTAACTGCCACAATGTCCAGCTTCCCATCCCCCTTGAATTCCCATGTAGCCATGTAAACTGTCAAGAAACCCTAGCTGTCTTATGGAATTGTCCTTGACATCTGCAGGAAATGGCTTCAAGTATCACTCAGGGTTTTTCCACATTTTTGAGCAAGAAACACAAAGAAATATCACATAGCAGAGAAGCAGAGTCATTCTGTCATGGCTAGCTTGATACTTACAAATTGTGTTGTGGTTTCTTTTTCCTTTTATTTTCTGTCATAACAAGTATTCTGGTTCTGTCTGTCTGTCTGTCTCTGTAAAATGCATAACAATAAAAAATAAGATTTAGCCTATGTGCTTTTGTAGCCTGCAGAGTTTGTTACCTCTTTCATTCTAGTTATTTTTCATATTCTGCCCAGAATCTTACTAAGTATATGATGAAATAAGTATTTTGGTATTTAATGACTGTCTCTGATATGCTTTTTCAGCAGTGTTTTTAAAATCTTGTTGTGAACACCTAGAGGCTATTTTATTTTACCTCACATGTCCCTTTCTGATTGTTTTCTTTTGGCGTTGATCTAAACTTTCTTCTGTATATTGTCATGGTGTTTTCTACCCTATTTTGGCTCTGATCTGTGGCATGTGCCATAACTAGAAACATATGGACGAATATCATGTAATGTGATATTCTTTTTTGAAAAACTAAGGCACAGGGACTGGGAGTAAAGTTCAGCAGTACAATACAGTACAGGGTACTGATATTAATATAACTGCTACATATACTAGAATATACATATCCTGTAGAGCTTATTCTTCTCTGTAATAATGACAACTACAATAATAACAGCTGTAATTGTCCCTTGATATGTGTTGGCAATTTGTAACAAGAACCACTATGGATATCAAAAATCTATGGATGCTCACTAACTTTTTTTTTTTTTTTTTGGTACTGGGAATCCAACTCAGGACCTTGCACTCATAAGGCAGGTTCTTATGCCACTGAGCTATGTCCCCAGCCCCTCAATACTTTTATATATAATGGCAGAGTATTGTGTAGAATCTGGGGGCATACCTTAAAGCATCTCTTGATGATTTGTAATATCTAATACAATGTAATTGTAGTGAAAGTAGTTGGTATACTATCTTGTTTAGGAAATAATAAGAGAAGTTACCTGTACAGAAGCAATTTGTTGTGAATATTTTTGATCCACAGTTGATCGAATCCATGGGGGGAGAACCCAGGGAATGGAGAGTTGACTCAAATTTATTGAGAAAACTACAATGAAGTCAATTTATGAATACTTGTTGCTTGATAAGCATAAAATCCAAAAAATTAGTCAATTTAAGCATTTAGAAACAATGGGCTACCTAGTTATTGTGTTCTCATATGCATCACAAATTTCGAAACTTTCATTTTGGCCAACTCTAATTCCACTACCTTTTCTTTATGTTCGTAGGTGACCCCCTCACATTACATGATATTCGTCCTGTTTCCTGTTATTCTGTCTACAAACTACTTTGTCTCCCCCGGAACCCCTTCTTCCTTCCTTTAGTCCTCAGGAGAACTTCCGGAGATTATTTCCAGTTCTCTTACTGGATCCTGTGCCCCTGGGTGTGCAGCTCGTTCGGCAGATCTCCTCCTCCCGATTTTTTTTTCTCTAAATCTCCATACAAAGATGCCCAGCTCTTGAAGTTACCCCACCACCATCTTGAGGTTGTATGCCTTCTTTTCTTTTCTGTTACTTTCTTTTCTCCCTCTTTTCCTCTCTCCTTTCCTCTTTTCTTTTTTTAGGGGACAGGGTACTGAGGATTGAATTCGAGGCATCAGCTATGCTAGCCAAGTGCCCTACCACTGACCTATATCTTCAGCCTTTTTGTCTTTAAGATAAGGTCTTGCTAACTTGTCTACATTGGCTATTTCCTGCCTCAGTCTCCAGAGTAGCTGGGATTACAGGTGTACACTACTGTTTTTTTGGCCATAGCTAGACTTTAAGGTCAGGCATAGTCTGTTTGTACTGCTGTAATGAAACACCCTAAGGTGGGTAATTATAAACAACAGAAATGTATTTTTTATACTTCTCGAGGCTGAGGAGTCCCAGATCAGGCCAGTGGATGCTGTGCAAGGTGAGATGGCACAGAGAACCTAGCTACTTCTATTGACCTTTCTTATGAGGGTTCTAATTCCATTCCTGGGAGGAATCCTCACGTCTTAATCATCTCCTGGAGTTCCACACCTCTTGCCAGTATCACACTGTCTCAATTTCCAGCACTTAAATTTGGAGAACATGAACATCGTAACCAGGGGACTGGGCCTGACCTTCCACTTACTGATTCCTGATCCTGTGATCTGTTTTCAGCCCACACCACTTGCCCCACAATAGCTCTTGGCAAGGAAACTCCAATCTCCTTGCTGCGAATGCCAAGTGATGTGGTAGCCTACTTGCTCCTTGAGCTCCTCTCTAGGTTCTTCACTTTTCATCTCCACGAGTTTGCTTTCTAGCACTTTGCTGCTATTCCTATAGGACCTTTCTTGGAGTCTCCCTTTCTGCCCTCATTTTATATATTCTTGGAGTCAATACTAGTGGTTGCTATGGTTTGGAAATGTGGGTGTCCTCCAAAATTTGGAAAGAAATACCCAGTGTGAAGGACTAGAGGTGGTGTCTTTGGGGATATGATTAAGTCATGAAAGGGCTTCACTTTGCATGACTGAGATTTGTAACCCTGTAAATGAGGTTGAAAAGCAGTCCCTAGTCCCTCCCACCCTTCCTGCATGTGAAAAGTTAGCATTTATTTCTTCTACTATGTTAGGATGTCGCAAGAAGACTCAGTCAATGAGGAATGTGCTTTGACCAGGCAGTTGATTTTGGTACTCACTTGGTCTTAGACTTCCCAGTCTCTACAGCAATAAGCACAGTTGTTTATAAATTAACCAGTGTAAGTTGGTTTGTTATAGCAGCCCATATGAACTAAGTGATTTTTAGAATTGTGTTCTTTTCCTACTCTATGGCTTTCTCTGTGAGATGGTATTTTTTCCCTTGGGATCATTTATTATTTTTAAGTTGGAGGCAAATCTGGTATCAGCATTTCCTCTCTGAGTTTCTGACCTGAGGGTAGAAGCACTTACACTTGGATATACAAGGACAAGTAACAACCACAATTCTAAAACTGAACTTGTTCCTTGTCTCCTTGTCTTTGTCTTGCTCCAGCTCTTGTTATGCTGGGCCTGATGAATTGTGCTACCATCACTCAGTATATTTGTGTACTCTTGTATGCTCAGGTTAATAAATAAACAGGTTCAGTCCAGTCTGTGACCAAAAGTTCTCACAAATCCATTAAATATTTTCCAAGTCTACAGTCATGGCCCATTTAGGCTCTACCCTCTTTCTCTCCTGGGTTCCTTCAGCAGCCTTCAGACATACCTTCTTTCTATCTAGTCTTGTCCTTTCAGTCTCTTTTCTCACTTTAATAGTACCCAACCCAACGTGACTTATAACAGTCTTCATATGTGACCTTGACCACTTTTCCAGCTTAATTCCCCAACTTCTCTTGCAATGAGGCTAAAAATTTATGTGTCTAATTTGTCTTGTAGATTAGAGGCTTTATTTTGCTAGAAGAGCAAAGAAGAGGCTTTATTCCTCTGACACTGCTGTTAGAAATCAGCTCTGAGCTCTCATCCATTTTCAGAATTGCCTGCGTCCAAAGACTGACCCCTAGGGAGTTAAAAAAGACCTGGTCACATCACCTTAACTCACAACCCCTCTGCAGGGCCAGTATCAGAGTTCCTGGAGAGGTTGCCTGAGGCTCTGATGAAATGCATCCAAGTTCATTTCTTCTCCAACTCAATCTTGTTTCCGTCTTTTCCCTTCCTTATTACCTAAAACAGAGTATGCCACCAAGAAGTCAGAAGAGTGAACCTGCTTCCTAGGAGACTGAATTTACAATAGTTCTCTGGTTTGCATTCTTGGTTCTGGTCAAACTAAATATTTTTGAGTTTCTAAAATATTTATCTTTCTCTCTTTCACCATTGGTCCTGTTCCAGAAACATGAGTTAGAAGAAACTCTTCTCTCATTTTGCTATTGTTTTTAAAAAGTTCCCCTTTTTGTGTATTGTCACAGTAAACTGTCATTATCTCATTGCAACACATATTACTCAGCACTGTAGCATCCCTAGCTTGTAAACTCTGCAAACTTTTGTATCCTAGTGCCAGGCACATAACAGTTTCTCAATGAACAACTGCTAGATTCATTCATTCATTCATTCGTTTGTTCGTTTGTTCGTTCATTCAAAAGGTAATAGGTTAGTTTTGCCAGAAATTCAAAACTTAATTTTCAGGACAACCAAAATTGATCTTAATGACCTTTCTTAGATGAACTTCTCTCAAATTTCCCTGCCTTGTTTTTTTCTATGATGTCATAATTGTACATTCTTCAAATAAATTTGTCCTTCAGAAATGTCATGTGTTTAGTATTAACTATAGTTTTGTCAGCTTGGATAGAGCTGCCTCTCCTCAAACTGATTTAGGAAGAGTACTTTTAGTTTTATTTGCTTTTATTGCTTGTATCCATCACTTTTTCCTAAGTTATTATGTGAGTTGGGATCTCTCCTCTGTAGTTCGGGTGTCTGGCTGCCAAAAAACAACATAGCCTTGTAATGGAGGGCACAATATCAACATTTTTGTCTTTTGGTTTAACACTCTTTTTCTGCTGCGCAGTAAGATCAATACATTTTCTAACTGTTGGTAGCAACTTATTTGCCTTTTAGCAGATTGTTACTTGTAGTTAAGAAGATACACTAATTTGGTGAAAAGGTAACACTTAAAATGTGAAAAATAGCATTTCATTAATATCCAAAAGACCAAAGAGTTCACAAATTACTTGCTCACTGCCACTCACAGCTCAGTGACGTACAGTGCTCTGGCTTCAGGGCT